AAGAAGTAATTGCTTAATAAAAGAGCTCTCTTGATGTCATGTTACTTTTTAAAATGATCTTTCCCTTTCCTCCCATTAATCAGTTTCCTGTTAGAATACTGTAGGTGTTAAGAGTGAGATGTCAGACTGACTGAATTTGAATTACTACTTGATAACTCTGTAACCACAGGAAAGTGACTTAACTTTTTTAAGCCTTGGTTTCTTTATCTATAAAATGGGGATAGGAGAACCAAGATGGCGGCATAGGTTAACGCCGGAGTTTGCTGCTTTGAACAACTACTTCAAAAGTGAAACCAAAAAACGGAAGGGACATCACCCAGAACCACAGGAACGCTGGCTGAGTGGAAGTCCTACAACTAGGAGGAAAGAGAAACGCATACGGACACTCAGAGGAGGCGCAGTGGTGAAGTCAAATTCTGAGGTGCGGAGTGCGCAGAGCGGGCTGGTGGAGGAGGGCGCGGTTGGCGTTTTCAATCGGGAGGGAGTCGAAGAATCTGACCTCCAGATCCGGGCGAGTCTTTGGGGACCCAGACTCAAACGGGAGAAGCGGGACTGTCTGGCTTCGGTCAGAGCGAGTGCAGCTTTCTCTCTGAGCTTTGCAGCCGGGGCTGGGACTCAGAGAGGCAGAGCCCCTGGGGACAGGACTGAGAGGCGCCATAACTGCTCTCTCCGGCCCACCCTGTTGATCCTGTGCAACCCACCCCGCCCAAGCCCTGCACACAGGCATTTGCCAGATAGCCTCAGGCAAAGGCTAGATTAGCACCTCCCTAGAGGACAGAAGTTCTCTCACTGCTGACACAGCTGATTCTCATAGCCACTTGGCCTGGAGGTCAAACCCTCCCTGGAATTAGCTACAACAATCAAGATTTAACTATAAGACTGCGAACAAAGACCACTAGGGGGTGCACCAAGGAAGCATAACAAAATGGGGAGACAAAGAAACAGGACAAAATTGTCAATGGAAGATATAGAGTTCAGAACCACACTTTTAAGGTCTCTCAAGAACTGTTTAGAAGCCGCCGATAAACTTAATGAGATCTACAAGAAAACTAATGAGACCCTCGATCTTATATTGGGGAACCAACTAGAAATTAAGCATACACGGACTGAAATAACGAATATTATACAGACTCCCAACAGCAGACCAGAGGAGCGCAAGAATCAAGTCAATGATTTGAAATGCGAGGAAGCAAAAAACACCCAACCGGAAAAGCAAAATGAAAAAAGAATCCAAAAATGCGAGGATAGTGTAAGGAGCCTCTGGGACAGCTTCAAGCGTACCAACATCAGAATTATAGGGGTGCCAGAAGATGAGAGAGACCAAGATATTGAAAACCTATTTGAAGAAATAATGACAGAAAACTTCCCCCACCTGGTGAAAGAAATGGACTTACAGGTCCAAGAAGCGCGGAGAACCCCAAACAAAAGGAATCCAAAGAGGACCACACCAAGACACATCATCATTAAAATGCCAAGAGCAAAAGATAAAGAGAGAATCTTAAAAACAGCAAGAGAAAGAAACTCAGTTACCTACAAGGGAATACCCATATGACTGTCAGCTGATTTCTCAACAGAAACTTTGCAGGCCAGAAGGGAGTGGCAAGAAATATTCAAAGTGATGAATACCAAGAACCTACAACCAAGATTACTTTATCCAGCAAAGCTATCATTCAGAACTGAAGGCCAGATAAAGAGCTTCACAGATAAGGAAAAGCTAAAGGAGTTCATCACCACCAAACCAGGATTATATGAAATGCTGAAAGGTATCCTTTAAGAAGAGGAAGAGGAAGAAAAAGGTAAAGATACAAATTATGAACAACAAATATGCATCTATCAACAAGTGAATCTAAGAATCAAGTGAATAAATAATCTGATGAACAGAATGAACTGGTGATTATAATAGAATCAGGGACATAGAAAGGGAATGGACTGACTATTCCTGGGGGGGAAAGGGGTGTGGGAGATGCGGGAAGAGACTGGACAAAAATCGTGCACCTATGGATGAGGACAGTGGGTGGGGAGTGAGGGCGGAGGGTGGGGCGGGAACTGGGAGGAGGGGAGTTATGGGGGGGAAAAAAAGAGGAACAAATGTAATAATCTGAACAATAAAGATTTAATTTAAAAAAATTAAAATTAAAATTAAAAATTAAAAAAAAAAAGTTTTGATAATACATTTGTCAATAAAAATAAAGGAAGAACTGCCCAAAAAAAAAAAAAAAATAAAATAAAATAAAATAAAATAAAATGGGGATAATACTGCTTATCTCAAAGGTTGTGGTGAGGATTAAAATGCTTAGTATAGAGCCTTACACATAGAAAGCAATCAATAATTGGTAGTTATTAGTACTAAAAAATCTTCCTTGTGTTGAGTGTTTTTACTTAAATAAAAATATTTTACTAGGTAGGTGTTTTCTTGACTTTTTAACCACTGCATTAACTTGCTCATGGTAGAAGTTTAATGAATATCTGTTAAATTGATATGTAATATAGAGTGGCCCATTACGTTGAGAACTGGGGTGTGCTTGAGCTCGCTAAAGAAGTAAAAACAGAAGAATCCTGGCCTGTGTGGCTTAGTTGGGTGGAGCATCATCTGTACCCCTACTTTATCCCGTAGTAGATTCCATTCCTGGTCAGGACATATGCCCAGGTTGTAGATTCAATCCCAAGTTGGGGCATCTACGGATGTTTCTCTCTCATATTGATGTTTCTCTCTCTCTCTCCCCCCTCTCCCTCCCCCCTCTCTTCTTCCTCAACTCTCTCCTTCTTGCCCTCCTTCCATCCCTCTCTCCCTTCCCCCCTCCTCTCTCAAGTAAAATGTTAAAAAAGGAGGAGAAAAGAAAACTGAAAATAAATATTACTCACTTTATCATTTGGGCTTGATTAACCCTTGTAGAAAAAGAAGATGGGAAGATTATTTTTCCAGAGACATTTCAAAGGAAGATAGTGCTGAATATACAGAAGGCAGAGGACTAATTTAGAGAGAAAAATGGAAAAGTAAATCCCCACATGTTGGCTGGTGACATAGGCATTTTAGAAGAGATGCCAAAAGAGAAAGTCCTATCGAGAGCAGCAGACTAATTTCGCATGGCTGTTCTCGGAACAATCTGAGATTTGTTCTTGACTGAGACAAGAGTCCTTTGTTCAAAAGCATTCCTTTATCACTTGGTGAGACTGTCATTAGTCCCCTCGCCCTTATTACATAGATATGTGATTAGAAGCCGCAAAACACTCCCTAAAACCTATAATAGGGATTTCTGACCCAGAAATTTATTGGTATTTTTATTTATTTAATAATTTATTTATCTAATTTATTTATCTAATAATAATAAACAAAGTGATTACAGCCTACCTCCACTTAACAATGTCTCGTCTTCTACTCCACACTATATTCTTAACCTCATATGAATACATGTCATATATTTAAATTACTCAAGCCAAGCAAATGATCTAATTTATGTTATCAGTAAATATTCATAGAATGTATAAAAGTATGGTTCCTTCTTCCTCCAATTTTTGTCCAAATTTTACCAGTTCTTACAAATACTGCTCATATGCCAATCAGTACATATGATTTTGTATGCAGATAATTTAAGGTTTTTGGTATTCAAGCTGTTTTTCCTACTATATTATAAACTTCTGCAAGTATGGGTCTGTATCTTGTCTTTGTATCGTCCATAACACAATGCTTTACACAAAGTTGATAAACGTAAGTATATTAAATGAATCATGTAATTTAATGATATAATGATATTTCTGGTGGGGATTTTTGGTATAGAATATTGAAGGTGTTAGTATTAAATAAATATGAGATATTAATAACCTCTTCTTTCCACAGCTTTTTCTTGGTATTACTAAAACTTTATTAATTGAGTGAATATCCAGTCCAGTGTATATTTCTCATCACAGGCTTCTATTTTTATTTTTATTTTTTAATTGTTTTATTCCTTAAAGTCCAGTGGTATTTATTTTTATTTTTTTAATTGTTTTATTGTCATCACAGGCTTCTGTATATAAAAAGGGGCAAGTTTTAAGCAAACCTCCCTTCCCTATTTTTCTCTCCCTTTTTCTGTTCCATTTCTTGCAGCTCTGTTTACCTTTTCACTATGACTCGTTCTTTCTACTTTTATTACTCCTGCCTCACCTGTTCTTACAATTTTAATGCTTTTTTAGAACTTTGTTTCCTTGTCACCTGCTTTTCCTATTTTTGTCTTTCTACTTGGCTTTCTCCTCCACTTGTTGCCACCTCTCCTTGCCCTCAAGGTACAGGGCAGGATTGGATAGGGAGGAGCCCAGCTGGGATAGGGGCGGAGCCACCTGTTCACCACTTGGGTATTCAGAACCTGACGCAGAAGGATCTGGCTGTTTAAGCATAGCTGGGGCTAAAGTCCCTATGGCATTCCTGCTGGAGGCTAGAATTCTGACAGACAATCTGGACTTGGTGAGATTAGTAGCTGTGGGGAAGCTCTCTTCTTTTTTGCTCCCCCTTTCTTCCTCCTTGTTCTGTATTTTTCACTCAAGTATCTTTCTCCATATTGTTTCTTTTTTCTATTTCTCTTTTGCTTAGTATTCTGTTTTCCTCCGTCTGTCTAGCTGTCACTCAACTCTAGCATTTGTTTGCCTTTCTTTTTCCCCATTTTCCCCATATATCTGTCCTGTCTCACAATTTAACTTTTCCTACCTCTTCTCCATTTTATTCTTCCCTTTATTAATTTTCTCATTTAACTCTGTGTTTGCTTGTTTCCACTCAGTCACTTTCTACCTCTCTATTATCTTACTGTTTCCCAGAGTGTAGCAGTAAGGGAGGAAGAAAGAAGCTGCCCTGCCTTTCCATGGTTCTAGTCAGACTTTCTACTCATTCTCAGATTTATAATGTGTTTTGATTAGGTACTGAAAAATAGTTTGTGCTCTGCACAGATAGTTAATAAACAGTGAAACTGGAATGAGGTTGAACATTAAATGTACAAGGCTTCGTTTTATTCTTATTTTCTCATTTTGTTTAGGTTTATTCTGCAATACAGTGGATACAATTTGTTATGGCTACTCTGAGGTACGTTTACATAATCTCATGTGATATGACTATTTAAACTAGTGTAAGAAAAACTTGAGCCCTAACCGGTTTGGGTCAGTGGATAGAGCGTCGGCCTGCGGACTCAAGGGTCCCAGGTTCGATTCTAGTCAAGGGCATGTACCCTGGTTGTGGGCACAACCCCGGTGGGGAGTGTGCAGGGAGGCAGCTGATCGATGTATATCTCTCATCGATGTTTCTAACTCTCTATCCCTCTCCCTTCCTCTCTGTAAAAAATCAATAAAATACATTTAAAAAAAAAAAAAAGGAAAAACTTGAGAATTCTGAAAGTTTCTACATTATCCACCCTGGGGATTTGCTTTTATTCTTTAGTTAGAGAGAAGTGTTGTTCTTTACCAAGTTGATATTTTCAGATTAATAAAATGTACCAATATCAACAACAATAAGACCAAAAAATACAGATTGAGGGCTAACTTCTGAAAATCAAAGGACAACTTGATCAATAGGATTTACTTAAAAAAATCAATAGTTTTGGTAGTACATATACTAGAAACTGGAATGAAATAGAGAAGATTAATGTGGGCCTTGCACAAGGATGACACACAAATTCATGAAGCAGTCTATATATTTTTTTAAACATGTGCAGGTAATTTTACATCAATTATATGTCAATAAAGCTATAAAAATCAATAGCATAAATGAAGGAACCCCAATTGTCCTGTTTTATTGATCTTTTATCTATGTTAGTATTATAGGTTCAAGTTCACTTATTGCTTATGCTGTATTCCAGAATATACAGAAATCTCCAGAGGTGAGCAATCTCTTTTTGTGTTGGATTTGAAATTTTAGTGACTTAGCTTTTGATATAATTAAGAGAGGTGTCACCTATAAATGATGGAATAATCCTATGAGTCACTTATAAATTTGTCATGATCTGTTGAGATATTTTAGACAGTGTCAATAGGTCTCCCTTTTCTTCTAGGTAATTATTTTAATTATAACTTTGAACACAGAGATTGACTACTAAATATGGATTTATTTTTTTGTATGTATTATTAAGGTTAAGGAAACAGTGTAGTTTGGAACCTAGGTTCACTCTAAGTTTGCTAGGGTCCTGCTTAGAGGTGAGTTTTCTGATGTTAATATGTTGGTTAAGTTGCTAGAGGGGCTAGGAAATAGTTCAAAGACTTTGCTATACAAAATGTACTATTTTTGCTGTTCTGGCCTTCTATACAATTACAATTTAATGGTGAAAACAGCAAAAATACTTCCTATGTAAAACTATTCATACCAAAAAGTTCAAGGTAAGAACCTTCCTTTTATTGAGGTATAGTTGACAAATATTGTATGTATTTAAGGTGTAATAAAACAAAAAACCTTCCTGATTCAGAGAGGACTAAGAAGAGTGATGAATTTTCTAGCTCAGAAAAGATTTTATGAGAAATGTAACAACTGTTTCTTTAATGAGGCCAAATGGCACAAAACTAGGCAAAATGTAGTTTAGAACATATATGGGAGAACATATATGTGGAAAATGTCATTGGGTTTTGTTGGGCCCACTTTAATAACAAAAATAGTTCTGTATGTGGAACACTTACTGTGTTCCAACTATGCTGAGTGCCTTAATGTCCTCATTACTCTTCTGTGAGAAGGATGGTGTAGACCTATTTCACAGATGAGAAAATTGAGACCTTTAATTTCTCTGGCTTCAATTCTGACACCTTTCACATAACCAGAACTTAAAAGATCTTAGCAATCACTAGTTCAGTGGTTCCCACATATTCTGTTTTCTTGGCCTAGGAAAAATTCTAATTTTTCCAGGTTAAACATGTAAGCCATACTTGGCTGTTTTCCTTTATTTCTTCCAGCAAAAACACATGGAAGGCATATCTAAAAAAGACAAAGTAGTCTATTAAATTAAAAATAATTATAGTGCCCTATCCGGTTTGGCTCAGTGGATAGAGCATCGGCCTGTGGACCAATGGGTTCCAGGTTTGATTTTGGTCAGGGGCACATACCGTGGTTGCAGGCTCTTCCCCTGCCCAGGCCCTGGTTGGGGAATGTGCAGAAGGCAACCAATCAGTGATGTTTCTCTCTGTCTTTCCCTCTGTCTTCCACTCTCTTTAAAGGATTAATGGAAAAATATCCTTGGTGAGGATTAACAATAACAGCAAAATAATTATAGTAAATTGGAAAAATCCATGGGAAATCTAGAGGGGACAAGCTGATTAGACAGTGACTCAGAGACAACCTGAAACAGGAAGAAAGTGTCCCAGGCCAGCCAATGTTAAAAAAATACTCAGGGCAGATATAGTTCACTGCATGGCGTGTGACTTAATTTCCTCATAAAGATCACATTTGATACTTTGGATATTCTTTATTTTACTTGAATAGAAATATTGGGAAGCAGAGTTTTAGAAGAGTATTCGTATGAGTTGTTTTAGGTCTTTCACCTCACCAGGATAGACCTGGACTCAGACCGCGCTAGGGAAAGTCACACAGTGCTTAACCCTACCCCATCCTCATTCTGCTTTTGCAGGTGTGTGTGTGTGTTTGTGTATGCTTTAAAAAAGAGTCTTTGATTTTATATTTAGGATCATGTCTTATGCCTTTTAAAAATATTTATCTTTATTGTTGAAAGTATTACAGATGTCTCCCTTTTTCCCCCATTGACCCCTTCCCTCACCGCCACATGCCTTATGCCTTTTCTTCGTGTTTTCCTTATCAAGCACTGTGTTGATTATATTTCCCTAATACTGTACAATTTCTTTGTATTACCTTCAACGTAGTATTTTACTAATAGGAGGGGTGAAATCTTTCTTGATCTCAATAATAGGTACTCAGTTAATTTTTGTTTAATTGATTGATTTTATCTCCTATTACTAGAACTAATGGTTTTCCAACCACGAGTAAAAATATGTAAACCCCTTCCTTTTCCCTGACAAAAACTTTAAGTATGCTTTAGTGGCTAACAGCTCCCTATATATAAGGTTATTTCTTGAATCAATGACCATAATTATGTTCTTGTTTATAAAAGTCACTTGGCTGCCTCTCTCCTCCAGAGTTTATTTTATATTGTTTTAATTTTTTACCCATTAACAGTTATATATCTTTGTTTTACTATGGTTGCAAATATCAAAAAATTTCTATATGTGACATGGCACCAGAGTTAAGTTAGGGTTTTTCAAAATACTGACACGCTGAGCTCAAAAGGTTCACCATCACTGCCCTAAGCATACCTGTTTGTGTTCTTCCCAATCACAACTCTCTCCCTCACCTCTAGAGGTAACCACTACCCAGATTTTTGTGATAATTATTTCTTTATTTTTATGAACAATTTTACCAGTAATGTATGTATCTCTAAACAACTTAGTTTTGATTGTTTTTGCATTTGACATAGGTATTTTTTTGTATGTATTGTTTTGTGATTTGCTTTTTCTCCTTAATATTATTTGTGCCACTTATCCATGTTGTTTTATGTATCTCTGGTTCATTTCATTTTCATTAATGTTTAGCATTCTATATTATGAATATACTACAATTTATCAATCTGTGCTGCTATTAACAGTCTTGTACATGTCTTCAGGTGCACACATGCAAAAATTTCTCTAATGTATTTTTCTAATAACAGAATTGTTATAGAATATGCATATATAGAATAGGACCTAGATCATGCTAAACTTTTCCAAATGGTTGTATGTAATTTTTTTCCTCATTATGCTTTTAATTTTCATTTCCTTGATTATTGGTGTGGTCAGGTATATTTTCATGTGTTTATGGCCATTTGGATTTCCTCTCTTCTTATCCTCTGTTCAAATCTTTTGTCCATTTTTTTTGGTTGGGTTTCCTTATTGCTTTGTAAGTTCTTTGTTTGTTTTTAATATGGTTTGGATATTGGTCCTTTGTCAGTTATATGTGTTGCAAATATCTTCTCCCACTTTGTGGCATGTCTTTATACTTCATGGTGTATTTTAACACATGCTTTTTTTTTTTTTCTTCTTCATTTTAATGGGGTCACATTTTCCAATTACTTCATTTTGAGCTTTTTGTGTTTTGTTTAGGAAAACTCTCCATAGCCAGAAGTCGAAGACAATTTGATCTTTTAAACTAGTTGAAACTGATTTTTGAGTGTGAGATAAAAATCATGGGACCCTTTGGTCTACAGGCTGATGCTCTATCCACTTTTATTCAATAGATACCTGATATTACTTTTATCCAATAGATATCCAATTGTTATAGTACCATATTTTGAGAAGACTATATTTTTTTCCATTGATCTAAAAAGCCACCTCAACCATATGTCAAAAGTCTGTATACATGCTTGGGGTTGTTTGGGGCTCTCTATTCTGTTTCATTGGTCTGTTTGTTCATCCCTGTGCTTAGGACCACAGTATCTGTGCTCTAGCTTTACATTAAGTTTTGATATGTGTAGGACAAGTCCTTCTCCTTTTTCTTTGAGTGTCTTGCTTGTTTTTCTTCAAGAGTTTACCTTGATATTTTGTATCTGTCAGTTAGATTTAGAGCCAGCTTGCTAAATTTCACAAGAAAATATGTTGAGATGTAATTGAGATTGCATTTAACCTATATATCAATTTAGGGAGAACTGACATTTCTATAACATTGGGTCTTATAATCCATGAGCATGGTATATTTTTCACTATAGATCTTCCTTTGGTATCTCTCAATAAATATTTTATAGTTTTCTCTATAGGAGGACCAAAACTGTTTTTAGAAAAGTGGGAGTAGGGAGATAAAAAAGAGAGGAGGGCCTTGACCGGTTTGGCTCAGTGGATAGAGCATCAGCCTGGGGACTGAAGGGTCCCAGGTTCGATTCCGGTCAAAGGCATGTACCTTGGTTGTGGGCACATCCCCAGTAGGGGGTGTGCAAGAGACAGCTGATCGATGCTTCTCTCTCATCAATGTTTCTGACTCTCTGTCCTTCTCCTTTCCTCTCTGTAAAAAAATCAATAAAATATATTTTAAAAAAAGAGAGAGAGGAGGAGGATACTAGAAAGTAAGAAAGGCAAACTTTACCAATGTGGTTAGAAATTCATAGTCAACATATACAATTTATTCTGATATTTTCATTGATATGGAAACTTATAAGATAAACTAGAGGCCCGGTGCACGGATTTGTGGTTCTATGTTTACTTTGATTCTATGTTTGAGGAAGGAGTGTCTCTGAGGAACAAGGGCCAATGTTAATCCATGAGTCCTCTGATTCCGGGACAGTTAGGGTAGCTGTGATAGCAGAGTCCCGCCTACCTGGTGTATTCCTTTACACTCCTCACAGTCAACCAGTGGGACAGGCTCCAGAAAAACGATGCCCAGTTTCTACTAAAAACGTAAAACATACAAATAATTCCTTGTTAACATCATTTATGAAATGAGGCTTTTGTTGCTTTGACAGATGAGGCCACTCTTTTATCTGAGCTTCTCTGACCTCCTCCTGGGGATATGCTGGCTCATTGAAGCACTTCTCTATGGAACTTCAGCAGCCAATAAGGACATTGTCTGCTATAACCTGCAAGCAGTGGGACAGGTGAGTACTGCTAGATTGTGTCTGTACATTACAAGAAAGGCACACTCAGATAAATAGGAAGCAAAAAAATAATACAATCTGGGAAGTGGGACCCTTTTGTTTATTGTCACACTTTGACACAATAGCTTTTATTGTTTTTCATAGTAAAAAAATTATTTGTTTATTATAGAAAATTTGAAAAATCCAGAGAAGCAAAACAATAATTAAAATCACCCAGATAGTCTGGCAGGCGTGGCTCAGTTGGTTGAGCGTCATCCCATGCACTGAGAGTTTGCTGGTTCCATTCCCACTCAGGGCACATCCCTGGGTTGTGGCTTTGATCCCCAGCTGGGGAGCCTATGGAAGATAACTGATGCATGTTTCTCTCTCTCTCTTTCTCACTCTCTCACTCTCTCTCTCCATCCCTCTTTCTTTTCCCACCCTCCCTCCCCCTTCCTCTCTCTAAGCATGTCCTCCAGTTAGGATTAAAAAAATAATATTTTTAAAAGAAATTGCACAACTTTAAAAAATGTATTTTTATTGATTTCAGAGAGGAAGGGAAAGGTAGAGAGAGAAACATCAATGATGAGAGAGAATTATTATTTTATATTTTTATTGATTTCAGAGAGGAAGGAAGAGGGAGAGAGAGATAGAAACATCAATGATGAGAGAGAATCATTGATTGGCTGCCTCCTGCACGCCCCATACTGGGGATCGAGCCCGCATCCAGGGCATGTGCCCTTGACTAGAATTGTAGGCTGACACTCTATCTGCTGAGCCAAAATGGCTAGGACGTGAGAGAGAATTATTGATTGGCTGCCTCCTGCATGCCCCTGATCAGGAATCAAACCGTGACCTCCTGGTTCATGGATGGAAGCTCAGCCACTAAGTCATACCAGTTGGGCATGGGCTCCATGCTGTAAATATCTGTGTGTAACTTTTGTGTGCATATAAGTTTTTAAATCGTTTAGGGGGAAAGGCATGATTTCTGGATTCTATGGTAAACTTCTGTTTAGATTTGTAAAAAACTGCCCAACTATCTTCCAAAATGTCTGTAGTCATGCTTCTTATAATGGTGTTTGGGCAACAAAGGACTGCATATATGACGTTGTTCCCTATGATTATAATGGAGCTGAAATATTCCTATTGCTTAGTGACATCGTAGTTCATGATTTCAAAGGATTTTTCAAGGAATAGGAGGTTGTTGAGATCAGCAAGGCTATGGCCGAGATGGCTAACAACTTTAACCTGGGTGTGGATGAGGATGACATTGATGAGCTCCTGGAGGTGGCTTCTAAGGAATTGACTAATGAGTTATTGGAACTGGAACAGGAACGCATAGCTGAAGGAGAGTCAAGAGAAAAGTAACTATAAGAGAAAGAAAAGAAGACTCCTCCCAAGAAAATTCACATGAAGGGGTTAGCAGAAGCTTTTGCACACCTCAACAAGCTCCTTAAGAGTTTGAAAACATAGACCTCAACACTGAAAGGTTTTTATTAATACTGAGGAATAGTCATGGTACATTATCTGTTTACAAGCAAATCTATAATGAAAAAAGAAACCTAGCAAACCACCATGGATGTATATATGAAAAGAATGACACCTCCTCAAGAAGAACCTCAGACAGCTCCTTCAGTGTTCCAGAAGAAGGCACTGTTGTCCTGGGAGAGGACAGCTTCATGAATGGCCCTGAAGACCTTCAGTGGGACAAGATGTGGAGGTGGAAGGCAGTGATGTTGATGATCCTGACCCTGTGTAGGCCTAGGCTAATGTATGTAATGTGTCTTAAATGTTTAAAACATTAAAAAATAAAACCATTAACAATAGAAAACACTTTATAGAATGAGAATATAAAGAAAAGGGTTTGTACAGCTTTATAATGTGTTTGTGTTTTAAGCTGTTATTACAAAGAGTCAAAAAGTTAAGAAAAATTTTGAAGTTTATAAAGTAAAATGTACAGTAAGCTAAGTTTAGTTTATTGAAGAAAGAAAATATTTTTTATAAATTTAGTGTAATGTAAGTGGTAAAGTATTTATAAAGTAGTGTACAGTAATGTCATAGTTCTCCACATTCATTCACCACTCACTCACTCATCCAGAGCAACTTTCAGTCCTGCAAGCTCCATTCATGATAAATGGCCTATGCAGGTACACCGTTTTTAAAATCTTCTATATTTTTACTGTATCTTTTTAATGCTTAGATACACAAATACTTATCATTGTGTTATAGTTGCCTGCACGATTCAGTACAGTCACATGCTGTACACATTTGCAGCCTAGGGGTAATAGCTATACCATATAGCCTAGGTGTGTAGGAGGCTAGACCAGTGGTCAGTCAATAGAGCCAAATATCAATAGTACAACGATTGAAATTTCTTTTGAGAGCCAAATTTTTTAAACTTAAACTATATAGGTAGGTACATTGTTATTAACTTAATCAGGGTACTCCTAAGCTGGCCTTTGCTAAAAACGTCCTCTATCTGATTGAGGTACGTTCGCTGAGGTCGACCCCTTCCAACTCTCCCATCCACACTCATCTTGTATACTTGTTTCGTCTATCTCCTTTTGTTCATCCTCTCTATATGTCCAAACCATCTCAACATACCTTTCTCAATCCTCGACACTACATCTTCTTTCACTCCACAATGTTCCCTAAAATTAACTTAATAAACTTTACTTAAAGTTTTAAATCTTAGTTAAACTATAGGTACGTTGAATAAAACTTGATATCATACTTAATAACAATATTATTTATTGATAAAATTAAATTCCTTACAATTTACCTTACAATATCCTTAAAATTAAATCATGATAATGACTGACAAACACTAATGTGAACGATGGCCTTGCATCTCCTTGGAAAGTTTGGGTAAATCAGGTTTGTATGTTGTTGTTTTTAATTTTAGGCACGATTCCAGGTTCTCATCAATAAGACGACTTCTCAATTTACTCTTGATAAGATTCATGCTTGAAAATGATTGTTCGCATAAATATGTAGACCCGAATAAGGAAAGAACAGCAAATGCTAGTTTTTTCAGTTGATTATATGAGTCAGGAATACTATTCCAGGTGTTAAAAATCAACATATCTTCCTTCTCCAGGTCTTTCAAAGCAGACCACTTGTGCTGTGAACTAAGTTCACATTTGTTTTTCTCCAATATTTCTATATCAGCACAAAGACGTTCAAATTTCGAGAGTTCTTTGTTTTTTAAATCCAGCAATTGCATTTCAAAGTTGCCAATGTCAATATTAAAGGGAGAAAAATTAAATTCTGTTACAGTAGCATTGAGAGGTTTTTTAACAAAGGCTAATGCCGCTTTGCTGTTTCTGAATTCCTGGAACCTGTTGAGAAAAGCTTCCCTCATATTTAAAATACTGCACGTGGTATTTTGTGGAAGAGCTACACTCAAAGGGCCAAAGAGCCGCATGTGGCTCGCGAGCCGCGGTTTGCCGACCACTGGGCTAGACCATCTGGGTTTGTGTAAGTGCACTCTATGTTTGCACAATGGTGAGGTTGCCTAATGACACATTTCTCAAAACATATTCCCATCATTAAGCAACACATGACTGTATACAATTTGCAATCTCACCAATTTGCAATAAATAACAGTCACTGTTGCTTTGCATCCTCACCAGCCATTGGTGTCAGTGCTTTAGATTCTAATAAGGATATAGTGGTATCTTGTTGTTTTAATTTGCAGTTCCCTAATAACTTAAGATGTTGAACATCATTTTATTATGCTCATTTGCTGTCTGTATTGTATTAAAATTTGATATGTATAAATTATAAAACTAATATATATTCTCAATAAACAGGTAAAAAGTAAAGAGGGATATACAATTGAAAAGTAAAAGTTCACCTCTCTTCTTTTACCTCTCACTTTCATAATTTGATCAGTTTAGATTAAATGTCTCTGCTTTTCAAAATTCTCCTCTAACTGGTTCTTGAGAAAAGCAGGGCATTCCTTGTTTGCACAAGCAGATGAAGAAGTTCTAGATTTTCCAAGCATCATAGTAAAGAAAGAGAACCAGTCACCTGGTCTAAACAAACAAGATATCCAAGTTTCTGAATCTAGATTTTCAGTTTCATTCTTTGAGTAGGAAGACCCTTTTTGAAAAAAACCTTTTTGAAAACTGGTGCTGAGATTGTTAGAAAATAGTAGTTATTAATAATTTCCATTGAAGCAGAATGAAACAAAAATGGGCTTAAGCAGTAGTAGGAAAGAATTTAATTTGGTAAGAAACCTTGAGGATTGCTAGGAATAAGTCATCATGGTCTCTTCGTTGTTTCCCTATCAGATATGTCTATAATTTTTATCTGTGTGAAATGGATCTTCTATTTTTACATGAAAGTCAAGTGATCACTAGATAAGTGTTTCAGTGCTTCCTAGACTTTAGGATTTTACAAATGAGTAAAACTAAAAAAAAAAAAAAAAGTGGGAGTTGCTAATTTTGTATTCTGCTAAATTAAGAACACTTAAAAACAGCTACCACTGAATTCCTAAAAGGAATAACAATTGATACTAAAAAAACCTAGGCAAAGTGCTAGTATAATCTCAGAATAGAAGGTGGTTTCTTTTTAAAGTACATATATTTTATTGATTTTTTTACAGAGAGGAAGGGAGAGGGATAGAGAGTTAGAAACATTGATGAGAGAGAAACATCGATCACCTGCCTCCTGCACACCTCCTACTGGGGACGTGCCTGCAACCAAGGTACATGCCCTTGACTGGAATCGAACCTGGGACCCTTCAGTCCCCAGGCTGACGCTCTATCCACTGAGCCAAACCGGTTAGGGCAAAGGTGGTTTCTTTAAAGTAGTAAATAAATATAGCTTTATGAAATACTTATTACATTGACTATATTTTTCTCAATATTTCTTAGACCAGTGACTATTTTGTCAGGGATCAGCACTAAATTCTTAACCAGCATTTGGAAATTATTCCACTAAATGGCCTTTCACAGTCCTTTTCAGATTTAGGATGCTAAAGCTTCAGGACATGTGAATATTTTTTTCTTTTG